TGTGTCGGTGGCCGAGGGAGAGGAAGTTGAGTGGTCGTATTTCGTGTTGGACGATGATCTTGATTGTTCGTTGTGATTTAGACGAGGATTGGTAAAGTATTAGGGTTGTTAGTGTTGTTTTTACTTGTATTTGCATTTATTTTTTGAGTTTCTTTTGAAGTAGCATGGTGTGTCTTTTACTTGGTTTTCTTCTTGAATTTCTGTTGAAGTAGGATGGTGTGTATGGATTGAATTTTGAGGATTCATCAAGTATTTAGGGTTGTTAGTGTTGTTTTTGGTTGTCTTTGCATTCCCTTCTTGAGTTTCTTTTGAAGTAGCATGGTGTGTCTTTATTTAGATTTTTTTCTTGAATTTCTTTTGAAGTAGCATGGTGTGTATGAATTGAATTGTGAGGATTCGTCAAGTATTTGGGTTCTTGTCTTTGCATTTCCTTCTTGAGTTTCTTTTGAAGTAGCATGTTGTGCTTTTTCTTTTGATTTCTTTCTTGAATTTCTTCTAAAGTAGCATGGTGTGTATGGATTGAAATGAAGAATGTTAGAATTGTGTTGTGTTGAATTGAAATACCACATGTAAGTTGATTAATGCGAATTGAGTTAATTTTAGGGTTAGTTGATTGATCACTATTCTAACTTAATTAATCAATAAAGTGAATCTAGTTTAAATAAGCCTAGTTAGTTGCTTAATTCTCATATCACCAATAGATTTTGGGATTAAATTGGGCTTAGACGACACATAGGCTATTCATCTAAAGGTGCGCTTCACTTTCTATATGGCTGCCCCCACTCCCCCGAACGAAGTTAATATGGTTTTAGCAGCACATGTGAGCTTCCCTTCTTATGTGACCGCCCACTCCCCCAAACAAATTTAATACGGTATCAGCGTCTACCTGATCTAAACTTGTGATGACTTGAATAATTTATTGATCTGATTCACCGCATCCCCAAGGGTTAGGCCCACTTTTTACAGGCAAGTGGAATCTTTATGCCCAAAACCCTGATTCAAGTAGTCATTTATTTGCGACCTCCCAAGGGGCCTCTAGATTATCCCTCGACTAGGACAAGGAACGGCCCCTTCCTGCCTTGTTCGGTAGGCTCGATTACATTGAGGGGAGGATAGGAAGAAGATATTAGCTCACTAAGCCTAGGATTCCATTCTCAGCGATGAAAGTTTCCGAGGTCCTGGAGTGAATTCGATGTTAAAGAAAAACTCACAAGTGATGGGAGATGGAGGCGTGTTAAAATATTATTTGTGAATTGTTTCAATTGAGTAAGTAAAGAAACTTGATCCACATTAAGTAAAGAAAACGAACCTACTTTATATAAGTATAGTGAGTTGTTTCTTTTTTTTTTGGTACAAGAAAGGAGGCAAAGCCTATATCACAGCTACGTCACTACCCGACGAGAATAAGACACGCCAGTGATATCATGTTGTAACCATAACCCCGCTCCCGGAGTCGGATACTCCAAAATATGCAAACCACCCGGTCCTTTTGCCGCCAGCGTCGCCAAATAGTCTGCCACAAAATTCCCCTCGCGATAGCCATGAGTGACCACAATTAATTTTGAATGAAATTTCACTTAGTCCGCCAAATAGTGAGTTGTTTCTTTGATCACAATTAATTTTGAATGAAATTTCACTTAGTTAACACCTAAGTTGTCTTGTAAAGGTGTGTTTTGCATCCTATATGTCGCAGTTGGGCTAGATCTTGTTGCGTCTGCACTAAAACCACCATCTCCTGAGTCGCGCGAGCCTCATGCGCCTGACTTGAGCCTGCAACATCCACCAGGACCACCAATGAGCTCCCTAAGCCCGTATCGGGGTCTGAGACGGTCCAGAGAAGCCCGACGATAGGCTTGCTCCGAACGGACGAGTGTTCGGCCACTCATCGTCGAAAGTATACTCCACCTTTTTTTGGGAATTTCGCCGATCATGGCTATGGTGGTTGTTGGCTTTTAGAACGACTCCCACAAACGGTGCCAAATGGTACGTCAAAGAACTTCGACCGGCTGAAAATGGCTAGATTTCGAACTCCTCGCCGATTGAACATCTTTAGACCAACAAAAATCTCATATTTGAGAGATTTTCCGGTGAAGAGTTTCTGATACTTAAGTTAACACTTGTAGAACATGAAGTGCAGTATGTAAATGTATGCAGAGGGTGTAATGTAATTCAGGACATACCTCCCTATCTTATATAGGGAGATGATACCTTGTTGTCCAAGTCTGCCCGTGTGGGCTGCCCAAATCGCCCATTCGTACTGCCTGAGCTACCCTAACTGCCCAAACTGCCTGATTTTTTTTAGGCCACCTGGTCCTATCCACGTGGGGGGTTTAATCCACATAATATTCATACTTATCCTTTAGTGTTCCTCATTAGACGGTGTAACAGTGCGACTGACTCCGATTACCTCGAGGTAGAATTTTATCGATGTCGAGCTCTGTTGCTACGCCAATCTGGTCGATCTTTCGACTAAATGCTCCTTGAGGTCGAACTTCAATCAGGCCATCTGAGGGCTCTAATTCACCTGCTGGTACCCTATGTATCTTTGATGTCTTCTACGACTTGGGGATCTTTCGACATGTGAAGTCTTCATTCCCAGTTCGATCTGATGACTGGCCCGGTTCAGTTCGGTTGCTTCTTCGGTCTAATCGACCTGGCACGGTTATTCCATATCAATGATGTAATTTGATTTTACATTAATACGATCCTCAATCTTTATGATTATGTGTAATTTTATTTTAAAATAATGTAGTGAAAAATACGTAGCCCACCATTAATTTTATAATAATAACAACTTAAAAGGAGAATGCTACCAGCCCGTTACGAGATGGTTCCGTTATATTTATTTACCGTAGATTATCTACACATTACTAGATTAAATGTATATCTACGGCTACAAAATACAACGGAGCCATCCCGTAACAGGATGGTAGCATTCCTCCAACTTAAGTATTATTTACCCATAAATTGGAAGGGACATGAACTAGTTATGTTGATGAAATTAAAAAAATATATAAATAAATAAATAAATTAAATATTAAATATATTGTATTTCAATCACCACTTGGATATAAAAAAAAAAGTTTTATTTTTGTTTTTTAAACAAAAATATTTCCATTTTGATCTTAAATTCCACCAACGGTTTCTGAAACATACGGATGGCTCCCGTATTCTGTAAAAATGAAAAATACACGTCATAATTAGCATTAACGGCGCCGTCAATAACGAAATAAATAACGAGCCTTTGACGGAAAAAACCATTAAAACCCCCTTTCCGTTAGCAGAAAACGACGACTGAAAACCCCTCTAAAACCCTCCCTGAGAAAAAAACAAACTACAGATCGATTCAAGAAAAAACCCAAATGCCGAAAAAATCATGGTAAATTTCAAGAAAATGCGTGAGAATTTCTCATTTTCTGCAAAAATTTTCATCGCCCTCTCCATCATCTTCATCACCCCATCCCGCGCGGCCCCGATTTCCCCTTCCAACAACGTCACTCTCTACGGCGGCGCTTTCTTGAGCGCCGCCACCATCGTCCTGTCGAAGGAGAAGAGCTGCCCGCCCCTTCCCCCGCCTCCTCTCTTCCCTCCATCAGCCGCCGTCGGGAGGGCATTCTACGCCAGACCTCTCCGATTCCTCGACCCCACTGCCGGCGCCGCCGCATCTTTTTCCTGTATTTTCTCTTTCTCCGTCACCGTCCCGGGCTCTTGCCCCGCCGGCGATGGGTTCGCGTTTATGATCACCTCCCAAGACGCGAATTTCTCCGGCCTCTACGATGGTTACATGGGCCTCCCCGCTGAAGGCTCCGATTATCTCTCCGTGGAATTCGACACGAGCTTCGACCCGATTCTTGGGGATATCAACGACAACCACGTCGGCGTTGACGTGAAAAGTATCAGGTCGGTTTCAGCCGTGGATTTACTCCCCAGGGGACTCGATCTCAAGAGCCGGAAAGGATTGACGGCCTGGATTGAATACAGGGAGCCCGAGAAATCAATTAGAGTTTGGATCGGGCCCTCGAAGGAAAAACTCAGGCCCCCAAGCCCGGTTCTTGATGCGCAGATTGATTTGTCCAAGCACTTTAAGGAGTTCATGCACGTGGGGTTCACCGCCTCCAGTACGAGAGGCTCGTCCGGTTACAGCATCAACTCATGGCAATTCAAGACATTTTTCGGGCCCCTGCCTTCAGCTCTGCCAATGGACGGTCACGAATGCATATTCTGTTCACCGACTGACTCAAATTTTCAAATCGGCCCTTTCAATTATCAACCGTCGAGAAAAAGAAGGATCTGGGGCGTGGCTCTTGTTTCCGGTGGCCTTGCACTGGTCACAATCACTTTCATGGCGGCATTTGTATCTTCGTGCGTATACTGCATGAGGAGGAGGAGAAAGAGGCTCCGGCGGGCCCACAGCAAACGCGAGATGCGCAAGTTTCAAGGAGGAAGGATGGTCCCGAAAATGCTGTCGCTCACCGAAATCAAATCAGCCACGAACGATTTCAATCGCGACAAGATCATAGGCGAAGGGGCCTCGGCCGTGGTGTATGGAGGGGCAATTCCGTCATTCGGACCTGTTGCCGTGAAAAGGTTCGCCAACGAAAACCTGACAAACAGCTCCTCCTCCATCTCGAAAATCCCGTTCAACACCGAGTTTGCAACAATGGCCGGCTGCCTGAGGCACAAGAATCTCGTCCAGCTCCAAGGGTGGTGTTGCGAGAAAAACGAGCTAGTCCTCGTTTACGAGTACATGGCAAACGGGAGTTTGGACAGAATTCTCCATAACCGGACACACTTGACGAGAGCCCTCACATGGGAAAGTAGGCTGAACATAATTCTTGGAGTTGCATCTGCCCTTGTATACCTTCACGAAGAATGCGAGAGCCAAATCATCCACAGGGACGTGAAAACGTGCAATATTTTGCTCGACTCAGAATTTAACGCGAAGCTAGGCGACTTTGGCCTTGCTGAGGTGTACCGTCACAGTTTGAGAACTCGACTAGCGACTGTGCCAGCTGGTACGATGGGTTACTTGGCGCCAGAGTACGTGTTCACGGGAGTCCCGTCTGTGAAAACGGATGCTTTCAGCTTTGGAGTTGTTGTTCTCGAAATCTTGACCGGGAGGAGGCCCGTGGATGAGGAAGGAGTCGTTTTAGGCGATTACGTTTGGAACTTGTGGGAGAAAGGGATGATTAGTGAGGCAGCTGATGGGAATTTGTTGGGTCTTTTTGACCGGGCTGATATGGAGCGGGCCCTGATAGTTGGGCTGTGCTGCGCGCATCCGGACTGCGTGAAGAGGCTTACGGTGAGGGAGGCTGTGAGGGTGCTAAAGGGGGAGTGCCCTTTGCCAGTGCTGCCCGCTAGGAAACCGACGGTCAGGATTCAGTCGGTGGTGGGCCAGCTGGCAGCATTGGATGATGAGATCGAGAGCTCTGCTGGGGACACGCCGTGGTCAACCCCAAGGACTCATTTTAGCAAGAAGTGAGTGCTTTGTGATAAGAGTGTGTGTGTGTGTGTGTGATAAAGTTTACTGCACCAGATAACAATGGGAGTATGATATTTGAATTCATTTGCTTTTTGTTGTTAATGAAGAAGTGTATGGGATAGGTTTGAGTGATGTTAACTTGAGATGACTTGATTCATATATGCTGCAAATATCGTGTTTGATAGATGAAGAGGCTGGCTCATGACTTTGTGTAGCCTTTATATTTTCTGGTGATCCTTTTCTTTTCTTTGTTTAGCCTTTATATTCATTTGAACTACATTTTTTGGTTACACAAAGATCTGAACTCTCTCCTTAGTATTAAGAACAAAACAGAGTCCATATAATTCAATGTTGTTCGGTTCGGTTCGATTATTTTAGTGTAAAAAATGTTCGGTTTTCCTTTTTTTATTTATGGATTGCAGTGTAGTTTGTTTATTTCGTCCACAGGTTCTGTTTTTTTATTTATTATTATTTTTCTGGTTCGGTTTGATTTTGCACAAGCCAAATTCAAATGCATAAATAAATAATCGAGCTAAAGCGTGCAAATTTGTGTAGTTCGATTCAGTTATTTAGTGTAAAGACATTTCGATTCGATTTCAATAGTTCAATAACTCTAATTGTTTATCCTTCCTCCCATATTGAAACTTTAAAAAAAGAATGAACAATAAATAAATAAATAAAAAATATATAAAGACCACTTTTATCAAATTTTAAATACAGGGAAGTATTAGGGTCCGTTATGATATAATTCGGTTGGTTTGTCGTTCATCTAACGATTACAAATCCCGACAAAAAGTAAAGTAGCCTAGAATATATGTCAATGAAAAGAGTTGGCCTATTTTCCACATTTGTTAGAAGAAAACAAAAAATTATGAAATATGGAGTTGAGAGCGACTGAAGACATAGCCATCGGCCAAAACCTCACCTCTCCCCTCCGCCCACTCGCCGCCGTCCTTCGCGACTCCGCCCTCACCTCCTACTGCTCCGCCTGCTTCTCCGCCCTTCCGTCACACCCATTTCCCCTCCACTCTCCCACAAACCCCCACCACGACTCCCCTACTCCACTCTACTGTTCCCCCGGCTGCTCCTCCGCCGATTCGCCGCTCCACCTGTCCTCCGGCGAGGCCCACCTTTTCTCTCTCTTCCTCAGGTCACCTCCCTCCACGTGGATCGACTCCTCCGACCTCCGCCTCTCCCTCCGCCTCGTCTCCATTTTCCAGAAACTCCCCCAAAAGAGCAACCTTTTCCATCTCGAAGAGAACGACGCCGTTTTGGAGAGGATTGCAGGTTTGATGACCAATCGTGAGAGATTAGTATGTGGGCCAAATCGAAACAACGAAGGTGAAAATTGCGTTAATTACGATAATTCATCCGAAAGGATTAGAGAAGGGGCAATGTTATTGGCTAAAGCGAGGAAGGCGTGTTTGGGTGAGTCTGTAAATGTTCACGAGCCAAAAAGTTTCATGTTTGAGGAGATGGCATTGTGCCTGGTGCTAACGAACGCCGTGGAGGTCCAAGATGAGAGTGGGTACAATTTGGGAGTTGCTGTGTATGGTCCTGCATTTTCTTGGATCAATCACAGTTGTTCTCCAAACGCTTGCTACCGATTTTCGGTGGGTCCGCAGGACGATGAGCGGTCGCCTCTTAGAACTGTTCCGGCTGTGAAAAATGGAGGTGCTTGTGATTTGATGGTGGAAGGTGATTTGCAATACCCGTGTTTAGGTATTTCATATGAATGAATGCATTTGGTTGAGAATGTAGTGGTGTTATTTTTTCGAGTTGAGTAACTTTGCTGAAGGGTAAATTATTTGCAGGTGATGTAGAGGAAAATGGCTATGGCCCGAGTGTTATAGTTCGTAGTATAAAAGATGTAAGAAAGGGAGAAGAGGTGACGATTGCATACACGGATTTGTTGCAACCTAAGGTTGGATTTGTTATTTGAATTAACAGCTTTGTGATTGAAATTTCGATGTATGTGGTATTTTCGGATTTTTGTATTTGGATTATCTTTTGAGGTGAATGAGTATTGTTTATAGCTTGGTCATCGTATTAGAGTCGATTTTCGTTCATACTTACTTTAGTCGCAATAGGGAGGAGAAGTTGGTCAATTTGCTTTCTTACATTTCTCTTGTTTTTTTGTGAGAAGGTTGAAAAAATTGGGTGAAAAATGTGGAGCGTTTGATTTGGCTGAAAAAGAAAGACACCTTGCTAGACATGTATCGAACAAAATAGAAGATTTAACAGTGTATGAAACAGATTTAATACTGCAGACCTCCAATGTCAAAGAACTGCCTTACAAAAGACTAAGTGGTGTTTGATTAGTTCAACATTTTTCATTTTTTATAAATTCTGGCCCAAATTTCAGCATGGTTGGCCTTTTATGAGAATCTCGGCTACATGTAATAACTTTTGTAGATATTGAATAATGTGTACTGGTCATTGGTTTCTGCAGGACATGAGACGAGCAGAATTATGGTCTAAGTATCGGTTTAGTTGTAGCTGTAAGCGCTGTAATTCGGTGCCCCCAACATATGTGGATAATGCTCTGCAAGTAAGATTTTAATTAATAGAAGAAAAATGGTTTTGGGTTTATATTTGCGGCTACTAATTATGCATGCAACTTTAGTTTGTGTCGTTCTTTACTTGTTTTTATGCTGAAAAATCTAATAAAATGATTAATTTTCGGGTTTCAAAATTATTTCTTCTGTAGGCTCTCTCAGCTGGTAATTGCAGTACTATTCCTGAACCTTCAGATACAAGGATAGAGAGACTAATGCAAAGCTTCAATGAAGCAATAGCTGATTATCTATCGTTCGATGATCCAATTTCATGCTGTAAAAAGCTCGAGAATTTGCTCCTTTATGGCGACTCACTACAACCGAACGGGTCAAAATCACCTCAAAAACCAAAACTTAATCCTTTGCACCATCTCTCTCTAAATGCTTACACTACCCTGGCTTCTGCTTACAAAGTCCATGCCAATGACCTCATGGCTCTTCATTATGATGTCGAAAGACATAATCGTGGAGCTTTTAATATGTACAAGACGAGTGCTGCATATTCCCTCTTGCTTGCTGGTGGGGCCCATCATCTTTATGCGTTTGAACCTGCTCTAATAGCAACAGCTTCGAATTTCTGGATAAATGCGGGCGAATCGATTCTGAATTTCGCAAGAAACTCTCTTTGGGATACTTTTCTGAATTCCGAGTCGGCCATTTTGGATTTCTCATCGGTTTTGACTAAAAAATGCAATACTTGTAGTTTGGCCGATATTTTGGAGCCAAAATCAGTTGGCCCGGATCGAAATAAAGAGTTTGAGGATATAAAGGGACGGTTATACAATTGCATTGCCGATATAACGCCGAAAGTTTGGGGCACGCTTGCTTACAAGAACAGTTTCTTGAAAGGGATTAAGAACCCTGTCAATTTTAGCTGGCTTGAAGTTCGAGAAAATCGTACGGTTTTAGAAAATTTGGGATCGGAAGCTGAGGAATGTAACAACGAACATGTATGGATGAATCTAGTTTTGCTTGGCGTCCATTGTTTGAGGTTCGGTGCACTGTTATCGAGCATTTGTTATGGTTTGTCAGCTGAAACGAATCCTTATTACGAAACTCTTGCGATTTTCAAGGAATCTGCTTGAATATGTACAGATGCTTTTTGTTATAGCTACTGTCATCAAGAAGTTCGACAAAAAAGCCGCTTCTTTGTCTTTCTTCTTCACTCCTTACAAAATATATCGTCAGGTTAGCACTTGAAATGTCAGTAACAGTTCCATTTTATATTTCTTGATCAGAAAAAATGGGAAGCAATAATCTGATCTTTGATCAGTAGCATGATCTCAGTATATTCAAAAAAATGCATGCAAGATTCATACCTATCAGAAAAGCATTGTTAACTCATTTGAATATTATGTATATTATTAAATAATATCACTCAAACATTATCACAAACATTATCACAGATCACATCAACATCAACGTTAACTAATTATTTATTTACTTTAATTTTCACTAATCATTACTTTTGATCAGATCTTTTATATTTTTACATCAAATCAATTTTAATAATTACATTTTAAATAGTATTATAAATAAAAAAATTAAAATTTCTACTCAATCAACTTTATTCAAAATTAATTAATTCATCAAAGAATTAAATGTAATCTAAAATAATTTATTTTCAATGCCCAAAGTGTTTTAGTAGTCTAAAATTGTGGTTGATATATAAAAATAGGCAGTAATGCGGATATGAAAAAGTATACAAACATAATATATTAAACCCACATTGAAAACGCATTATAATATTCTAGTCAAAACAACCTATTATCATCCTGCTTGAAGTTAGGAGATGATAGGATATAATAATTAAATCATAGCGAGCAACTTGAAATAACATGTGGCTGTAGTTTAGTGGTTAGAATTCCACGTTGTGGCCGTGGAGACCTGGGCTCGAATCCCAGCAGCCACAAAACATTTTTTTTTTTATTTTGTCTTCCTTTTTTCTTTTATTTATTTATTCATTTATTTTGTATGGTTTATTATTAATCTTTCGCCTTCTCTCTCCATTTAACAATGTTTCGCTTAACAAAACCAGAATGTAATAAATTTATATTATTTATTGTTATAAATTATGCCAAGCCAACAAATGATTTTCAAGATATTGCTAATGTATTTTTTGATATTTATAACCCTACTGTTCAACTTGTTGTAATTCAATGTGTAGCCGTAATGCGAGAATTTAGGGATACTTTTACTAGTGATCCTGACAAACAAAGCGGACTTGTAAGAGATATGTTTAGAAAATGATTAAATATTATTTTTTTTTCATTCACAATAAAATTTTTAGTTGCATATTTGTTAAATTCATCATTACTTGAAAAATGATTTGCTCAACCAACTCCAGATATATTATGATATTATGTATCAACTCTCACCTAATCCACGGTAGCTCGTTAAGTAAACAAAACTTTTATAGTATAAATTGTTTAACATTAATCGAATGCAGGGAAAACTCAGCGTCATTTTCTTGTAGTGCTTCCAGTTCTTTTTCTTATGGACAATGAAAAAAGACGACGCAAAAAGCGAATACTTTGGTGATTGGTGGGAGAACAATTTTAACCCCTAAAAAATGTTAAGATGTAAAGGGCAAATGAGACTGTATCCAGTGAGCTTGATCACTACCTCATCTCAAATGTGATACTTGCAATTGACGATGCCGCCGCAAAGACAAAATGTTGCAGACAACAGGCGCGACGCCGCCATCGACAAACTGAGTCGCCAGTACGAGAGGTTTGGCCGCCAGTTCGAGACGATAGGTCGTCAAATTGTGAATCTGTCAGCGAGGATCAGGGACATTCGAATAGCTCTCTGTACCATTGTTCAGGACAAGCACACAAACTGCGCCCACGACAGGGTCCACTTGGGGCAACCACTGTTGGTCGGTGAAGGTGACTTTAAAGACACCTTCTTCGAGTTATATCTTTTCAACGCAATGAAGGTGCGGGACGAGGATTGGTTCGCCGACGATCGACATTGGAAATTATCATTTCGAGTCGAGATCCCCGAATTTTTATGGTCTTTGTAGACGCGCAAGCTCGACCGAGTATGAGGGTCAGCCTCGTCTCGATGACAATAGGTCGTCCAAGTATGATGGTTCATAAATTTTTGACAAAGAGGATCTGATGTCGTCGATGGAGGACAACAACCATATGGTTGATGACGAGTCAGTTGCAAACCAATAGGGCTAATAAATATTGTTGATAATCAACTTTCACCAACCGAGAAAACAATTGAGAACTTTTCCAATATAAATGAATGTCGATATTTGATATCACTATTTTGTTACTTGATTCGAAGAAGAAAAACTCTATGCTACAATTAAGTAATGTCACTTCGCTGATCACCATACGGCTTGATGAGCCAAAAATGAATATAAACACATTATTTGATGAAAAAAATTGAGACAAATTACTTTTCTTCTATGTCCTGTGGCCAATCTGAATTTGAAGAGGAAGAGAATGATAAAAATAAAGATCTTTAGAATCTTTAAATTAATTATTTCTTTCCCTTTATATTATTATGCTAATTTATTTACTGGTATTCTACATTTCTATTAATCAGTAAACTCATTTATTTATTAATTAATTTAATTTATTAAAATACTTCTTATTGGACCAACCCACAAATTCTGGCAGTTCAAGGCCGGTTTTGGCCAAACCGACATTCCGGCCCAGCCCGCGGCAATGTATAAATATCACAATAACTTGTTCACTTTATTAAGTAATTTTAGGTTTAATTTGACTTGTAGAGTAAAGTGAGTTAATTTTAAACAAAATTAGTTAAACAAAGATTTTAAACTTAAATTTAAAATTATTTTTACAAAAAACAATATTTACAATGCAATAATTAAAATTACTGTATAATATAAAACTAGAAGAAAAACGATTGAAAATAATGACAACTAAAAAAAGATGTGAATGAATAAATGATGTGTAAATATAGTTAATGAACTTCGAATTAAATCTTTTGTGGATTGATTCACTGTAGTTATATAAATTCATTAAAATGGCAAAAAAAATTGAGTTAAAACAATATATCTGATTATTACTTGACAAAATAATTCAAAATCACCAACTTTGTGTGGAAAGTAAAAATATTAAATATCTAACTATCTGAACTGTTACACGATGATCTAACTTTACAAACTCCAACGAAATGATTCCGTAACGAACCCGTAACATTTCCAAAATAAATATCTGAATATTACTTCACAAAATATCCAAAATCACCATCTTTAAACTCCGCCATACCAAACAATCGAAATAAAAATTAAAAACAAAAAAAAAAAATTGATAAAAATATAGATTAAAGACAAGTAAAAATATACGGGAATCAGAAATCTCGTGTGGAAAGTGCCGATCACTGCAACTACCAAAATTGGTACTGCTACGCCCTGCACAATATGCTTTGATTTTCATCATTTTCTCTCATTTTTTACTTTGTCCCAAAAATACGAAAACAACTGAAAAATAAAATAAATATGAAATTATAAATGACTCAAAATTAGATAAATTAAATAGAGAAAGAAAGAGAGTTGGTTGAAGCTTTCTTTTTTTTTTTTTAATTATTTGAGAACCAACTGCGGAATGGAATTGTGAAAGGGATTTTATAGAGACGTTGTTGCCCTAATTTTATTGACCATTGGGCCTGTTTACAAAAGTAGCTTAAAAGGCCTTGTCTCTTAACCGGCCCGGTTCATTGCTGTCAGTTTCAGATTTAGGAATATAAAATTGGGCCTAGTCTTTTGACCGTCGTTGATTTATCGGTTACAATTTTCGACGGAATAATTTCGTAATTGAACAAGAAAAATCTTCTGTTCTTCCTCAATCAAAATTTATATTCCTACTACCTCCATAGCAAAAGTATATAATATACATTTATTATCAAATACCAACACACCAAAAGTACAAATGAAACCTAATGTTGTCATTTTTCATTGGGTTAATTTCAGCATTCTGCTACATGCATCCAAGATATCTATACCTATATAAATAGTCAACCTATTTACTAAAGATAATAACAAAAAAAGTCAACCAACATTTATTGCATTATATTTTTGGCAGTTTTTGAATTTTCTTTTCGAATTATTCTCAAGAAATCCATCAGCTATATATGCACCCTAAATTCATGGAGTTTGTGAATTTAATTAAGGTAAATTTCGTTTACAATTTTGCAAAAGGCTAAATTCTTTCTCATTTCTTATTTAAAAAAAAATATTTACCATAAAATCTTAAATTTCGACAAAATACTATCACATATATCATTTCATAATTGCAACATATCAATTGTTTATTAAAAAAACAGATTGCATAGAAATCGGGTTAATTTAGTTAAAATTCGGCATGACAATTTTGTAAAAGTCAAAATTCTCTCATTTTTTATTAAAAATATTGTTTACCATAAAATCAAAGATTTCAATCAGACAAAATAATATTTATCTAATTGAAACATATCATTGTATTAAAAAAAAGGCTTGCAGATAAATTGGGCTCAATTAATTGATTTCTTTAAACCTACCTAAAATTCTAAAATAATTTGTGGCAATACACGAAAAAAAAAAAACCAAACATATAATCTTGTGTACAATATTTAATAATATATAAGTTATATTTGTTTTAGAACAAACTCATTCAATTTCCAAATTTGTAGCACATTTTACCACAATCCCACAAACAAACTAACTTTACAAACAAAAGAGAATAAGCTCAGCTCATATACATACACAAACAAAACGACGATCACTGCACGAAATTACCCGCATTAGCTATCGGACTCGGGTCGCGCCACGCCCGAGCCCGTAAATCCTCGTCGTCCTCGAAAACCGTCATATACTTTTCGTCCAACACCACCCACGCCTCCACCCCTTTCCCGTCCCTCGTGTCCATCAACCACACCACGTTCAAAAACTTCAACCCGGGCGCGCCACCCGCCTCGAACCACGTCACCCAACCAGGCCTCCCGAACCCGAAATCCGTCGCCTCGTAAAAACCGAACCCACACCAGCTTGTAATCGACAGCATGTCCGCATCCCGGGGAATGTCCCGCCACACGAGCCCTTGATTCTCCCGGTAGCCTGCGAGCCCCCCGTCCCCCATCATCCGCTCCACGTACTCCCCGTCGATTTTCCCGACCGCACTCCTCATTTTCCCGACCAGTTTCCCCAACCCGACAAGCTCCTTCCGATTTTGGGCCGTGGCCACCGCGAGGCCCGGGAAGTTCCCGAAGCAGTCAGGCCCAAACGGCGGGTTGGCCCGCCGCCTCAGGTTGACTGCGTGGGTCAGGACCGAGTCGGCCCGCCCGTTCGCGAAGGACGCGGCCATGAAGCACCTCCAGAAGAGGGCCGACACGGCCTCGACCCGCGTCGGATTTTTCATATCGCCCGATATCGACGACTTGAGAGCCTCGATCGAGGCCTTGTCGAACACGAACCGCCGCATGACGGAAGTCCCGGTTTTGAGAATCTCCGACATGGAGACGGACCCGCTTGGGATTTCGGGCCGGAAAGGGAAAATATGTCGGGCAAGGTAATTCGGGGATACGGGTCGGGCCGGGGTGGATTCGGC